AGGCCAATGAGATGCTTTTTGAAAAAAGCACTTGATTTCTCTGTAAACTGCCGGGTCCTAAGTCTCTCCCCTGTCTTTTCTCTCCTCCTAACCCATAGTCTGAGACTGTAAAATAAAGTGGTGCAGGCTAATGGCATGCCAGATATTAACTACCCTAATCATTGAGGCTGTCACGCCATTACATAACACACAAAAAGCATAGTAATTTTTGTTAATCATGTTCCTATCCTAGCTTCCACATGGTGTTAGTGTTGGTTTTTTTGTAGCAAAATGCATAATTGAGTTGATGATTTTTATCTCTTGGAGAAAAATACAATTAACATGGTGAACTAGTGCTGCTGTGTAACAGAAAAAAATCTGAAATGACAAGATGACAGATAGTAAGAAGAACATCAGAAGGGAAATAATATAAATGCAGCTGGCTTGTCTGTGGCCATTTCCTTGTGTTGCATCCATGCAATAAGGAGCTTACTGCACTTGTGAAGGAGACAAACAGGAATTCTGAAATATTTTTGCTTTTCCTGTGTGTTTTCTTTTGAAGAAGTATTGGCAGCAAAAGGAAAATTCATTGTTAGATTTCAAATATCCTTCTTTAAAGGCTGTATTGCCTGAGGGCCCTTGATCTGTCTTCTTTCTTACCCTCTGCATACCTATGAAAATCGTACCCAAATTTTTAAGAACTTTAAATTCCATAGCCTACGTAGACTTGTTTTCACTCTGTTGTTGTTGTTGTTGGGTTTTTTGGGGTTTGTGTTTTTTGTGTGGTTTGTTGGTTGGGTTTTTAATTCTATAGATCTGCTATGGAGCTAACAATAGGTTGACATTTAATTGAAGCAGTTAGATCCAAATCAGATTTGAAATTCTGTTTATAGCATTATTCAAGAAAACTTAACAGATGACTGTGTAAGAGCTGGTGGAATATGTGCTAGATGCCTGTTGAGCGTGCATGTGTAGTACAGTATTTTGTCCTTTGCAAAGGAAAAACAAAAGCAAAAGCATTTGATAATAATGATAGCAATTTATGCACAAACTCTTTTTATTTTATTAAAGTTTTGAGAAATCTACAGTCTAGATCTACTTTGCTCATGAAGAAGAAAGAAATTCACGAAATATAAAGGGCTGTATTCAGTATGGAATCAAAAGTGGTTTTATTCTAAGCACAAAATGTCAGTCAAAAATGGCAGGAGTACTGGATATCTTGGGGCACTCAGAGAATTCAACCTTATAATGAGAAATGAAGTTTATAAAAATACATCTTTTTCCATCCTACTTTAAGCGAAATAAGAAAACTGATCACGTTATATGTATGGAAATTAAAGAGTCTGCACAGAGACAGCCTCTTTCTTTACTTTTTACTTTTCCAGCATAAGCTGTTATTTTTCCATCCCATTTCAGTTGTACCTGTGCCAGGAATAAAGACAATATATGGCTTTCTCTCTATTTTGACATCATGTACCTTCTTGTATAACTATTTGGTTATTTGTTTTACTCAGTAGCCATAAATCAAAACTCTGTTCACATAAAAGTTCCTCTTTTGTAGTGGAAAATCACAGGTAAACTGGTTTTGGTCCAAATTCAGGGTAAATAATGTGTGTATCAGGTGTTTGTTTGGAGAGGATCCAAAAGGCTTAGTGGGCGGCACAAATAATGCTCTGATTTAACTTTTGGCCTTTCCATTTAAAAAGTTGCTGGAAAGTTCCATGGTATTTAATTGTAGTATGATATTAATTATCACCTTGTACTGTTGCTCCCTGCTTTGTGTGCAAGGAAGACTGGTGTTTCTGTCTTTTCTCTCTCTTTGCAGAGTGTGTTTTATGATAAACTCCTTTCAAACCATTCCTTTAGCGTAGAGCACTGTGTGGTACTGCGTCACACAAAATGTGAAGGTGATGAAATGAGTTCCATTGAATCTTCCACTGTTGATTTAGATGCAGTAGAGACTGGAACAGGCTCTTAAAACTCCAGCTGGCAATATGTCAGTTTTTTTGATCTTGTGCCCTGATGAAAAAACTGCTTCTGTAACCCACAGTGATATGTTGCAGTGTTACAACTGTGCAAAATGCATTTTCCCCTCACTTCAGAAATCACATCAGACATGTGATGATAAAGGGTGTGTGGAATATTTGACCTTGCTGCCAACTTTCTTTTTGCCTCCCAGAGAGCAAAGATTGCTCTGAAATGTTTCTTCTCAGTTTGATAATTCCGTCCTATCCCTAAAAGCTTGGAATAGCTCGTTTGCCCTTCCCTCACTCTTCACTTTGTTTTGGGCATTGCACCACAGTGTAGGCAGACAAAGAGAAAATGTAGAACGTATGGGATCAGGTCATAAGAACAAGCCTCTTGATCTGATACAAAGATAACAGAGGCCTGTGCACATTTTGAGGCAATATAAACTACTTTTGTAAGTATTCACAGTTAAAATCCTACAAAAACCTTAGACTCCCTGAAAGGCAAAGCTGGCAGTGCTGTTGGTGATATGCAGCAGAGCTCCATTAATTTTGAAGGAATTCTATTAATTCACAATGACGGTATGTCTGCCCTGCAATTCTATAGCCAGAAGACAGACCCAAGAGAGCTCCTTGTCCTCCCTGTTATACATGTACATGTTTAACTAGTGAAGATTTGTTTTTTTGTTTAGTTCAAATAGCTACAACTTAAACAGTTACACACGTGATCACATATGTAGACTATGCTAAGACAAAGTCTAATCAGATTTTGAAACTGGAACAATTCAGAAGTTCAGGCTGCCTGATAAATATGAATTTGATTCCCTGGGCCATACGTGTTAGGATTTAGATTTTAATTACATTATTGAATTATTTTTTTACAAGTAGATTTTTGCCCAGTTGATTCTGTAGGGTGAAGCTGCTCTAGTACTGAAACCAGCTCTGCGTTGAGATAAAAGGCTGCTGCTGGTAAACTCCTTATCTGCAACTGTCACGGAAGTTGGAAAGTGGATTGTAAATGAGACAGGATGTTTTAGCAAAGAGAAAGGATCATCTCATGATGCAAACCGCTGCCCACACTCATAAAAAATGAATTTGACTCCTATCCATGTCACAAATGTCCTGTGAGATCCATTTTTTTTTAAGATGGTCCCTGCCTCTGAAAATCTAATTTCTAGATGCCTGAATTGGAGGTCAGATCTGGGCTGCCAAAATACAGTTGCTTATAGCTCTGATTAGCATCAGTGAAAGTTATATTTAAAATACATATAGTGCTATGACACATTTTTCTCCTGCTGTTCTGACAGAAAGTCAGCTGATGACCCAATAAAAAAAATTTTGAAACTTTAATTTTGCAATATCTTGCACACAGTTGAAGTGGTGATTTTATCCTGAAACTCAACAGTATACTTTAATATAAGGCAGTTCTGGCATCCCTGGCCACAAAATAATATTTAAGGGGGATGACCGCTTGCTTGAGTTAAGGGAAATTCAGACAAACAGAAATTAATTCACATCAGAGTTCAGTACCTGTCTAACGGAAGGCATGATTTTGCCATTACTGTCTTTTGCTTTCCAGGAGGGCTCCCTCTGCAAGTGTACAGTCAGCCTGTGGAAGTTTTCAGATGACGTATTTTCAAACTGTATCTGCCTCTCAAAATAATAAGTAGAGGTGCCACTGAATGTCTTTCTGATGTTGACTTTTCATTGCTGTTTACAAGTCTTTGAAAATAGGAACATATGTAGGCTTGCTAGATGAGGTGACTTTGTTGTGCATCGTTACGGGCTAAACCAGAGGGTATGTAGGCATAAATCAAGAGAGAAAAATTGTAAGAATGTTCCATTGTTGTAAAATTTTAATTGTCATAATGATAATGGATTGCAAATTGATGCAAACAACTATTTTTTTCCTTTTTGTCACCTGCTGTTATAATTTATGAAAGTATCAATCATGGGTCTTTTCCAAGACAAACACCAAGAATGTACAGCTTTCTATATAGTCTTCCATGTTTTCACATGTATTTGTGATTTGACAATTATGATGTTTTAATTTCTCCAACCAAAAGACCAGATACGTTTTGTGATTATAATCTACTGTAATCTAGAAAAATACCAATTTTTCCTGCTTCTGTTATGATTTTGTCACTTCTTACCAACACAAGCCTTCACACTCAACCCTCTGTGTCACAAAGATACTTGAGGTTACATGTACTTTGGAAATAGCACTCACCATAAATAAGTCAATAACTGCTACATCTTGATAACCTCAGTTAGTGTAGCAAAACTGTTTTATCTGTGTCTGTGTGTATGTATCTATCAATTTTAAACATAAGAATCATAACCATTTGAGTAAAATTGACAGAATTGCTAGTTTTCAAAACACTTAATGACACTTAATTAAACCCGCGTCTAATGGATTGCCTAGAATGTATATAGAGCAACGTCCTCATGCTAAAGCTTTGATCTGTAAGTAGCTTCTTGTTTTTCAGTGGAATCATTAGATGAAGCAATGATTTGAAGGTTTGAACTCACATCTTTAAATTCTTTTTGTGTTTCCATTAACTGCATTGTCTAATCTTGAAAAAACTAGCTTCATATTTCCAGTGTTTCTGCCATAACAGGTTACCTCATTTCAAAAACATAAGTCATCGTTGATGACAGTCTTCTCAGTATGTAAAAATACTCAAGGAGTGTTTGTGTAATGGGAATTTCTAGGCAAAGATAACTTTTGGAAATACTACTTGATCTTCAGGCTTATTTTTTAAATCTTTGAATAAATTGATATGGCTGATCATGGAGGGGGCCAAAGAAGTGTTCAGGAGGGAAAGA